TAAGGTTATTTGAACACATTTTACCCAGGCGTTAGCGACGCAATTGCTTTGCCCATTTACGCTTTTACTAACCGTCCTTGTATTTTGCTTACAGCCACTGTGTATGGTGTTGGGAGCTATTTTGCTCTAGAATCCGCGTACTCTGCACAGGACAAATACTCACCAGTAGATCCCAACGGTCAAAAACACGTCTACCAGTGTAAAGTATTAACCGGTGTATTCCACTGTTGGTCATCGAAATCTTCTTGTACCACCTTCTAGGAATCCAAATGACCCAACCGATTGTTATGACAGTGTTGTAAATGATGTTAAAAATCCTCAAATTTTTGTTGTTTTTAATGATGCAATGGCCTATCCCGAGTACCATATAACTTTTAATTAATTATTTGTCAACTTTTAAGAAGTGATTATGTTTATTCAAAATATATTTGTATCTGATTTTAGATTGGAGAGGCACTTCATATACGGAAGTAAAGTATTCTTTGATATGTTATCGGGACAGCTGTTAGCGTGTAAGTGATTGGTGGTATATTGATCACTTGCTTGACTTTCAGTATTTTTCAGTTTATTCAAGGATTCTGTGTTTTCGAGGGTCACATGAAAGCCTTGCTAGAAAAGGGGGGAATTAATTTGTGTATAATATATGAGATAAATTGTATATTGCTAATCAGACTGTCAAGTAGCGAAGTAGAACTGAATATCAAATCATTTAAATATTTGATTCCCAAATTATAGATATTTGTATTTGTTCTACTTTTGTCTTCATAGGGATTTCTCAATAATGACTTTGTATACAAATTTGGAAACTTCAGATAAAATAGTTGCAGAACCAATTTGCAAATGTTTTTGATATATTTCGATATACTTTAAGTTCGTCAAGCAATAGACTTTTTTCCAACATTAACCAATTTGAGACAACATGTTCAATTTTAGATGTTTTTAAAATCATCTACCTAACAGTACAAATTTTGGAGTGTTAATAATATTGCATTTAGTTGTAATCAGCTACAAATATTGTGTTGTTTAACCCCAACTATATATATAGGCAAATTGACACAAGCACGAGTATTCTGAGATGATACAGGGCGTTTTTAATTCGAGGGTGACATAATTCAAATTCGACTGAGTAAAATACATACCACTTGATTTGATTTCACTTGTATACTCCATAGTAAAAATGTGATGTAGAAAACTAAGCATATTTGAATAGTTTTAGAATACAATTTGACAAAATCAAAATGTGGTGTGACCTTGTACGTATAGAGAACTTATCGAACGAATAATGACGTTTCAGTCAAAACAAAGGTTTTAGTTCAATAACAAATGTTTTTGTCAGAATGCAATATCAATCAACAACTATTTAAACTTAATCGTTGTTTTTTGTATTATCCCTACAAAGCTCCCTAATTACAAAATATTTTTTTTTAAATTGACTCCTTTGGCTCCTGCATATAATTATCACAGTTGTGTTGTCACTAAATTGATTTGCCTTCAAAATGTCGGATTCCCTGACATGTTTAATATGTAACTAAATAAATGTTACCACCTGAAACTTATAGTTATTTTTTTTTTTTATTTCTGATCACAGACACAAAAGCGAAGAGACATAATTTTCCTCTTCGAAAACAATTACAAAATTTAAAACTAAAAACACCATTTTCATGACTCAGATGATTTGGGGAACATGGGGTTTACAATACAATTCAATCAACATCAATTCATTCACTAATGTGCAGCAGATGTCGCCAAAGTTTATGCAGATATGTAACTCTTATCTAACGAAATTTGCATTTGAGACTTTTGCCTATTTTCACATTGTATATCTTGACATAAACTAACAAATTCACGCATTTCAATTGATCGACTGACGTGTGCAGTCTTACAACATTATTCACCAAAGTTTTGATTTTGTTTCTTTTTGTGGTTTAAATCCTATAAATGAATTACTTGCGAAATAAAGAACTTAATCTAAAATGTGTTCTCACCATAATTTTATTTGTGTTCTAAATGTTACAATTCCACTTATATATGTTTTTGTTGAAGAAAAAAGGACTTCCACATTTGGTAAATTGTTTACTGCAAGAACTACAAATCATTAAAATAACACAATTAAAAGTTGTAATTCCTATATGGATTAATTGTGAACAGCAGGATTTACTACACTTTACAGTTACAGCTGAATGTGGTTCTACTCCTTGTTTTATGTTATACTACTCAATTCAATTCTCAGTTCCTCGAATACAGCGGCTGTTGTTATAACAGCAACCGCGTTACATTCGAACTTCCGGGGTCGACACGTTTTCTCCAGTAAAAACTACACATATTGCACGATGTTTTGCACAGAATGGCAAACAAAAATGCAATGAACCGTCAGTTCAGCCATAATCAAAGTACAGCCATATGTGCCATTCGGTGTCTTGAGTACTTTCATTGAATACAATTATATACATGCAGATTTCAACCTATTTTTTATGTTAAATTTGTCATCTATATTCGAATTTATATTGTTAATTTTTACACGTCACTGAAACACAACAAAACGTATGAAATATTGGTTGACAATATATTAAACCCCAAAACAAAAGTAATGTTAGGACAACAACCCTCGTTCGACTAATAATTTAAAATCCAAAAGAACTATTTGCTCATATAAGCTGTTTTACTACTTGAAACCCGTAAACTTAATATGCGAATTGTATTATGTCTTAATACTGTAATGAGCTTATTTTTGTTGCACGTTTTTATCGATTAAACTGAGTAATGTTCTAATAAGATTAAAGCTTCGCAAGCGTGGAAATTGAGTCCCAAGCGATGATAATAACACACGCTAAGAATGCAAAGGCCTTTTGGTGGACGCTTGTTTGTAAACAATGACACGCTATGACCACCTGGGGCATGCGTAGGTGATTACTCCTCGGCTTTAACATTTGCACTTACTCAAATATTTTAACATATATAACAAGTTGATACCTGATAAAACACACTCAGTGGAACGTCAATCAGATTTTGTTATGCAAATGTCTACTATGTCGACCTTTTCCCGAAACGCCGTGACGCGTGTTTTTGTAGTCGGAGAACTGGGAATTATAAACAGTGTTTTCTTCTGGGCTAGTATTTGAGACCCTTTGCTGAATATGGTAATGATTAAGGGGGAATTATATGACCTTCTCAAAACCAAAGTTATTTTGCTGTGGATAACCTTGAATTGTGTAAACATTGCTAGCAGAATGCGTCTCTGCCATGTTCTACAGTTCTACTGGCCTTGCTCCGTAACTTGAACCTAGATCCTAAACAGGCCGATATCTACAATGAATGTCCTAGTAGCGGTCCAAGATTCCAAACGTTGACACTAAATTCAGAAATGCCTGACACTAATAAGTGCACGAATCAGTAATACATGTGTTCAAACCGAAATTGTGGTTAAAACTCACTAGGTGCCGTTTGTCCAATCAGTATGCCTCATTTCCAGACTTTTTACTTTGGGGATTGACACGAGGGCGCCGTTCGATTTGGATGGAACGTTTCGAAGTCAGTCGTACAAAGGTCTCTTTTACGAATAGATGAAATCATCTTAGCGATTTCGAAACGTAGAAACATTACAGAGATATACAGCCCTTAAAATTTTATCTATTGAAAGTGAGTTCTACGCGCGATTTTATTGCGTTAAAATTGTTTTTGATTTCAAACTGTGAATGCAAATACACAGTGATTCTTGGAAATGCATACCAATTAGATAACTTGTTACTGGTGAAAATCATTGAAAACATTATGCGCATATTGAGCAATAGTACTAAAGATAAATGTCAATCATCCTCTGCATTCTTAACTAGTCTTACTATGATCACGTTAAAGAATAAACCTGTGGTTACTTTCAAAAGTTCGACTCTGAACAAAAACATGTCTCGGCTAGCAACGATGGAATTAGTCTATTTAGAACTACCATGATGGCTATCAGAAAGCAATTTGGCACAAATTCAAAATGGTGGACGGGTTGGGAGGCTAAGTTTATTGAAACGTAGTATGTCATAACTATGCGTGCTACAGTCTCAAGATTAGCAGATATTTCACTGTGAGCGTTGTAGGTGAGTAGTATAACAACTGTCATATTTAAAATACAAATTGTATACAACAAAACGTAATGTGTACCTACTTATGCCAGGTAAGCGTGAAATTAACACTCATGTTATATAGCCTATGCTTTATCTAAAGGAAAGAAACTCACTTCAAAGCTTATAGTCATTGGTATGGCTACTCAAGCAACATCAAAATTCGTGTTGGAGTTCGTTCATCATGCAAGGCATTGCATACGTTATAATCAAGTGAAACTTCTTCCAGCAACACTTGCAAGACGAAATATGGATCAATATGTAGCAAATGGCAATATACCAATACCATGTGATCTTATGGGGAAAGGGATGGTTCTAATCTTCTCAGTCACGGTTGTAAAAAACTGAAACGAACACGTCATGAAAACTAGAACTCAATCTCGTTTATTCTTCAATAACATACATGCAGATGTTAACTCGTAAACAACTGAAACGTCATAGATCGCGTCGAGTAACAATTTTTATAGCGGGAAGCGTTCTCATTGATCGATTACAAATATGGTGTTTACTCTGACATTCGAAACAAATATTGGTCACATTAAAGCTGGGTGTGCTAGTTCTCATAGCGTTACATGCAAAAAATGACATACGAAGCAAATATGGTAATGAATAAAGATCAATAAATCAAATGAATCTCCCCACAAATCTTAAAGCAAGAAAATTCAGTTTGTAGCATATATCATAGAAAGACACTTCTGATGGAATAGCCACACATATTGTAGCATTCTAAAAATGTGTAGCAACAACATGAGCCAGATCTGGTACAAAGAAACACAGTCAGCTGGCGCACACGTGATAATAAAAATAAATACGATATTTACCATATGGGGCCGCCATCTTGAATGCAGCATAAAACTTAATGAGAGACAAGTCTGAAACGCGTTTTTCGGATTCCTACAAACCAGGTGAAAAATACCAATCTTTCACAGATACGATCCATTGGGATAATATTAAGGTAGAGATGCAGGTTTGTGGGCACTTGGGAGTGAATTTTTTTTTTTTTTTTGATTTTTATTATCCAAAACAGTCTAGGCTATAGACTGTTGAAATTTTGTAGAATTGTTGAATAGTGGAACATACTCAAAAAACGATTTTAAAATATAGATAACAGGTGCAAACATTCTCTCTTTTGAATGCTTAGCAAGATTTACCAATGCTGTACATAAATAATAAAAAAAAAACATGGTGGAAAAAAGAAATGACGGGATCTCCATTATGCACTGTATTTAACTTTTTACAAAACGATAATACATTTAAATTTGAAACTGTAACAGCCATTTTAATTACGAGCATTAGCAAACTTCTTACTGAGTGAATTGTTATGCAAATTAGCAATTATCTCAGCTTCTTTTTAGTGCACATTCCAGAACTTAAAAAAAATAGCTCGTAGACGCTTTGACCTTTTGTTTTGAAATTTTCACAAATGATTGACAATGTGTTTATCTTCAAAACGCCGTCGGGGCATTGTTTTTAGTTGAATAGTGTTACAGCAATTGTACAGACAACTA